ATAGAATAGAATAGAATAGAATAGAATAGAATAGAATAGAATAGAATTCTTTATTGGCCAAGTGTGATTGGACACACAAGGAATTGTCTTGATGCAAATGCTCTCATTGTACATAAAAGAAAAGATACATCCATCAAGAGTCAAGAATCATAACATACAACACTTAATGATAGTCATAGGGTACAATAAGCAATCAAATCATACTAGGAAACAGTCAATATAAATTTTAAGGATACAAGCAACAAATTTACAGTCATACAGTCACAAGTGGGAGGGGATGGGTGATAAGGAGTGATGAGAAGATTAACAGTAACTGTAGTGCAGACTTTGTAGATAGTTGAATGGTGTTGAGGGAATTATTTGTTTAGCAGAGTGATGGCTTTCAGGAAAAAAACTTCTTGTGTCTAGTTGTTCTGGTGTGCAGTGCTCTATAATGTCGTTTTGAGGGAAGGAGTTGAAACAGTTTATGTCCGGGATGTGAGGGGTCTGTAAATATTTTCACAGCCCTCTTTTTGACTCGTGCAGTATACAGTTTACTTTACTTTTTTTGTCATTGCACCTCATACAACAAAATCAAACACCATCTTCAGTGCACATCATGACCATGACCATGAAAATAAACACAAACACACATCCTTCGCCCTTCACACATTGAACCAGAAACCCCCGACACCACACCAACACTGCACTATACAGCAGAATTCAAAAGAGCTACTGCCCTGGGATAGAAGCTGTTTTTCAGCCTATTTGTGCTTGTTTTTATTATTCTGTACCGTCTGCCAGATGGTAATAGTTTAAAAAAAGGGTTCCCAGGATGAGATGGAACTTTGAGAATGTTTTGAACTTTCTTAAGGCAGTGGGAGCTATAAAGCTCTTCCAAAGAGGGGAGAGGGCAACCAATGATCTTCTGGGCAATGACATTAACCCTCTGGAGTGCTGTCCTATCTGCCACTGTGCAATTGGCAAACCATACAGAGGTGTAGTATGTTAAAATGCTCTCTATGGTGCAGCGGTAGAAGGTCACCAGCAGTTTCTCATTCAGTTGTTGTTTTTTGAGAAGCCTCAAGTAGTATAATCTCTGCTGGGCCCCTTTGACTAGGGCTGCAATGTGGGCACCCCAGGTCAGGTCCTCTTTTAGGGTAACACCCAGAAACTTAAAACTGGCCACTTGCTCCACTTGGTCTCCATTGATAAGCAAGGGCTGGATGTCTGATCTGTTCCTTCTATAATCCACTATAAGCTTCTTGGTCTTACTGGTGTTGAGGACCAAGTTGTTGTCTCCACACCACGAAAGCAACCGGTCCACCTCATCTCAGTAGGCAGATTCATCCCCCCTCCACCCGAGATAAGTCCCACCACTGTTGTATCATCTGCAAATTTAGCAATAGTATTACTAACGTGAGTGGGAATGCAGTCATGCACATAAAGAGTATAGAGTAAGGGACTCAACACGCAACCCTGTGGTGTACCAGTGTTAAGAATAAGGGCTGAAGAGGTATGATTACCTAATCTGACCCTCTGTGAGCGGCCAGACAGGAAATCTATAATCCAAAGGCAGATTGAATAAGAAGGTCCAAGGTTCAGAAGTTTAGACACTAGTCTATGTGGAAGAATTGTGTCAAACGCAGAACTAAAATCCACAAAAAGCATCCTCACATAGCCCTCCCACTGCTCTAGATGAGTCAGAGCAGTGTGAAGAGTGATGGCTACAGCATCCTCTGTAGATCTATTTTTTCTGTATGCAAACTGGTGTTTATCAAATGTATGCGGAAGACCAGAAATGATGTGCCAGCAGACCAATTTCTCAAAGCACTTCATGATGATAGGAGTGAGTGCCACTGGTCTGTAATCGTTGAGGTTATTGATAGGGAACTTCTTTGGCAGCAGAACAATGGTGGAAGCCTTCAAACAAGATGGAATAGTGGACTGGGATAAAGACCGATTGAAGATCCTGGTAAAGACTCCAGCCAACTGATCAGCACGGTCTTTAAGCACTCGGCCAAAGATACTGTCAGGACCGGCAGCCTTTCTAGGGTCTACAGCCCTCAGAATGCTCCTCACCTCCTGGTCCTCCACAATGAGGTGGGGGCTACAATTAGCTGGTAGTTGTGTTTTATCTGTCTCTGATGTCTCCACTTCAAAGCGAGCAAAGAAATGATTCAGTTCCTCTGCCAATGAAGCATCCCCCTCAGCAGGGATGACATTGGTCGGTTGATGGTTTGTAATTTGTTGAATCCCTCTCCACACCTGCCTCATGTTATTGCTATAAAAATTATCCTCAATCTTCCTCTTATAATCAGTCTTGGCCTTCCAAATACCTTTCTTCAGATTAGCTCTGGCAACACTGTATCTTGCCCCATCACCGGACATAAAGGCCTTGGTCCTGTCATGCAAGAGGCGCTGGACTTCCTTGGTCATCCAGGGTTTCTGATTGGGATAGATCCTAATACATTTATCCACATTGATAGTATCTGTGCAGTGTTTGATATAGCACAGAACAGTTGCAGCGTGCACCTCTAGGTCAGGGTGGTAAAAGATGTCCCAATTTGTGTTCTCAAAACAATCCTGAAGTTGTTGGGAAGCATCCTCTGGCCAAGATTTCATTGTCTTTATTATAGGCAGAGCCCGTCTCCTAAGAGGGATGTAAGTTGGTGCTAAAAGCAGTGACATATGGTCT